ATTCTTGTTAATGACTAAGTAGAAAAAGCAACATTTAAGTACTTATTTTGTAAGCCACATTTCAGCTATAACAAGTCAACATTGTGTACATTGAAAGAATAATTTCGCAAGAGAATCTAAAGATTCGACTACATACAGATTTGAAAACAATTTTGTTGGATCATCAAAATAATCTTGCAGGAATCTTAAGTATTATGAAGAATGCTGCAAAATGTTTTTGATATTCTAATAACCAATTTTGTCGTCCTATACCTGTTTCGATGGTCCAGCAAAATTATTTTTCAGATCTGTATCTAGCTAAATTTTTAGATTCTTCAACAAAACTGCTCTTTCAGGGCATTACTAAGTCTATGTTCTTTTTAACTAAAGCTCTTGCACGGTCTATCTTTCTTCCTTTTCTCTCCACGTTGGAGAGGAAAACAAACAAGATGTGCCGTGCAAGAAGTTCAGCTAAAAAGAACAGGCGTACTATGTCACAAAAGTGTATGATTGTGTTCCGTTACTGGAAAGCACTCAATATCTCGAGCCTAAGTGGGAATCACTCTAGTCCAAATGAGGTGTCGCGTGTAAGATCCACGTAGGGTGGGAAGGAAAAGCGGGCCGCCGCGCCGGTGTGAGGGCATCTTAAGGCAAGGCCACCCGGCTTGGTTGATTAATAAGGGTGCGAGAGAGCTACCTTCGCGTTCCATTCTCTCGCGCTCTCCTCACCATGCCTGCTTCTTTCGCGCCACGATCGTTCCCACGAAAGCGCATTCCGCGTGGCGGCTTGGATTTTGAGCGACGGCAGGATTCGATTAGCGAATCGCGTGCGTTTGTTAACCCTTCGCGCGCCCATTTATTCCCGGCCGGCATTCATTCGACCAGAGAGAGGAGCGGCCGAATGAGCGTTGTACCATTTTTCTTTTGTTGCGGCAACAGCAACCCCCCGTCCGATACGATAACGCGTTTAGAGTGAACTTATATTTACCCAATGTTATTATGTACACGTGATGTTAAAGAAATGGAATGTTGTTGATGATTTAACAAGACTCCATAATCGATCAATCTTGCACCTTGCGGTTTTTTTTATATCAAGAGAGAAACGTCGACAACCTTGATTTTATGAAAAAATTACGGCAAAAAACGAATTGTTGGAACCAATGTACTCACTCTCCGACACGTTCGCCGTTCCAGCAGTGTTTGTCGGGATACTCCTCGCAGATCGCGTCCGCTAATGTGCCGTAGAAGATGCGGGACCTGAGGACGCTCGCCAGGAAGTTAACCAGCTGCTTGTGCAACTTGTTCAGCACGCTGTCTTGTGCGTGAGATGGTAACGACGATGCAGCTGTATGCACCTCGCCAGTGGACGACGTGGACGATTTCGCAGCTGCATCCGAGGACACTGGGCTTTTCTCGCTATCGGGCGATAGCAACTCCGAACGACCACACACCTTTCTCACCTGAAAATAGCCAAAAGCATCGATCCTGCTGATCATTAATGTATAACGAGATAAATAAATTCTCAAGATAAGAAACTGACTACATGGAAAGAGCGATAGATTTTGTTCATGCAGTTAAAAATTTAACTACATATACAGTTACGGATACTAAAAATAAATTTGTTGAACTAGTAAAATAATTACGTAGGATGTTTTCAAAATATCTGTGTGTGTTTCTTAAAATATCAAACCTTTTTACAGCACTACTTATCATGAATTGAATTTCCTTATACGTTCTTTTGTGATAATCTAACAAAATTCTTTTTAAATCTACCTTTAGTTAAATTTTTAAATACTTCAGCAGAATCGTTTTTTCCATGTTTGCAGATAAATCAGATATCAGTAGTGTTTCCAAATTATAAATAATGAACAAATAATAAGGAATTTCCAATTATTGGAAATATGATTTGTACGAAAAGGAAACGAATGTAATGTTAATGGCATGACAGACGAGTCTTCTTTTTTTTTAATCGATTGGAAATCAAAGAGAAACGATTCTAGCGAAAATGTGACACCCTGTATATGAATGCCGCTGCACCTGGCTGCAAGTGGTACGGTAAATGTGACACACGCATAAAGATCAGCACCGTAAGAGCTTTTGCCAGCTACGGCGCGTCCGTTGGCAAGTGTCGCCTGCGAAACGGCTTGTTCTCGTTCCGAACGACGCGTCAATTTCTCGACGATTTAATAGGCGACGCGCCCTGACAGTTTTTACACTTGGCCGAGTCACGCCACGTTTCGGCGCGTCCATGCGTTAATCAAGGCATACACGCGCGTACACACGCATACGCATGCAGTATCTTGTCGCCAAAGAGTATTCTTCTCCGCTTCAAAATCGCCGGTGATCGCCGGTGATCGCCGGGGCTCTTTCCGGAAGTCACAGTTTTCTAAAGCACAGCGAAACATTATGACAGCTGATGATGATATTTTTACGGCGTTCTCAGAGATTTTGCAAGACTTCTCGGAAAATAGTATAACATGGGTCTTTTTATAGCGTAATGTCTGTCGGAGATGTCCAAAGCCCCGAAACGTGGCGTTGCCAAAAGCGCAACTTTTCTCGTCTTCTTCTGCACGCCAGCCACGTGTACGTGTATTACGTGTCCCGAGGTAATCTAAGGTGCATTCACAACGATCACGTACAGGAACTCGCGATATTTCAGCCGGCTTAAGTTGTAAATTGCTATTTATGGATCACGTAAAGGTCCACAAACGCAATCACGCAATGGCGAAATTATTGAATCGTATACTCCACGGCGAACGAGGAACAATTCTTACCGATTTCATTTCGCCAAAAAGACAGAGTTTATAACAGGTCGATTCGCATCGCGTATCCTAAAGTTTTATAACATTTCTACGCGTCATCATATAGCTCGATCACAAAGATAAAAGCGTTTTCGCTCGGAGCGAAAGTTTTCTGCTACTATAAAAAGAAGAAAAATATTATCTTTCAAATCGAAAACGGTTCTGCCTTTGTTTCAAATGCCCATTCGTCGATTGCGATTTTATGGAAAACGATTTTGTGTAAAAAAAAAAAACACGCCTCTCCATTTTTCCATTACTACATTTTTGTTTGTCAATTCGTTTGAAATAAGATTTTTTATTTATCGAAATTTTATGTCATATGAAATTCGTCGCTATCTTTTATGGGCAATGATGAAAATGTCTTCTCTGAAAGTCAACTCACGATAAGAAATACGTTGAATAATTTTAATTATCTTCATAAATGTGTTTTATATGCGGACAGCCAATAGATTTCGAGAATGTTTTAAATTCTTTTCTGATATAAAAGTATTTTTTATCGCCTCGTTCCTAATTACATCATCACTAATATTATGTATCAAACATATAATTTCGTTTCGTTTTTATCGCCTTCAATTATCCATAATTATTAATCTCGTCAATCAACATAACAAATTCGTAAATTCCTTTTAATAGATTCACGTCGCCTTTTCGAAATCTACTGTTAACGTCATTATTAATCTCATCCGCACTGAGAAAAAAAATTTGTTCAACGAACTAAACACATTTAGTTGCTTGCAGATTTGGTTAATTCGACAAATTTCATTTAATTGAATGTAATCGTAGTCTGCTTAACAAACTGTTCAATGTTAAGCAGACTACGGTTAAATTCAATTGATTAAAATTTGTTGAATTGACCAAATCTACAAACAGCTAAATGTGTTGAATGAATTTTTTTTTCAATGCATCAATATAGTATTTATCCACTGCTCGACTTAATATCATATTGAAGTTTTTTCTTACGAAACCGAAATATAATGCTTTGAACACGAACTTCGGAAAATGTCAAATTCTGATTTTGATGAAATTTTGTAAACATATTTTTATATAATAAAATTATCTTTATTTATCCATGATGATAATACTTTTTAAAACTAATTATTTTCATATTTTTTTCAAATTATTTAAAAAAAATACTATTGAATAAATAAAGGTAATTTTATTATAAAATTTATGTACAAAACCTTTCCTTTATATCTTAAATCGTTTTCGAGATACATCAAAAAAAGTCAAACTGTTTTTTCACTCCAATTGATATTTTCTACATACATCTATGTGCCTATATGCATATAAAATTTTATTAAAATCAAAATTTAATATTTCAGGAAGCTCCTTTGTTTATATCACACTGAAGTTCCTTAAGTTTTCTCAAGACCACAATAAGCAACGCTTGAAATAAGAACTTCGCTAAGTACTTCACGTGAAGTATTACATTCTCATCGTGGCAATAGTTACCCAGGGAGATTGCTTTTGTAATTTTTACCAGGTCGTGCGATAGGCAATGAACCCATTTTATCATCACTGAGATCAAAACACGAATCAAGAGCGTTTATCACCTTATCGGCTGCGCCGCCGTTTAAACAATAATCATTAAAATTATCGTTGACATCTCTCCCGCGAGACTCCCGCGCCGCCTTTCTGTCCTAATTACTTTTAGCGCGGCCCATAAAAGGAGCCCGGACCCCGGCAATGCGGTGGTTGCTCTTCGGGCTCTTCGAGGCGGCATAATCGTAAAACCGGCCGACCGAGCGTAATTAAGACGGCACGCGTGGGCGTTCAAACGTCGCTCGCTCTCTCGTCTCTCATCTTCTCGATTTCTCATTTTTTTCTTTCTCTCCTTCTCTGTCCTTGTTCCTTCTCTTTCCAAAAGACGCGACTGCTCCATCCTTCCTTCTCTCGATCCTTTCTCTACTCAAGCGAAGTGGACGAAACACGGAGCGAGCTTGGAATGCCGTGCATCTACCGTGAGAAGACTTCCCCCCAAACGAGTAGAACGATAATATTGTCCCACTGTGATTTTGCAAATATGCGATCTTGCGATATTACGCTTCGTAAAAGAACTAACAGTATTATATAATTGACAGTGTGGACTATGTCAATTATATTGATTTATGCAATCAAGCTAAGTAGTGGCTTTTTGTAAGAAATAAAGACTTCTCACAATGAGAAATCTTTATTTCTTATTAATTCTAGAAAAAAGAAGATAACCGGCAGTAATTCTAAAGTATAGTTATGCAGATAAGACTGGCATTTAAACCGTATCTGCGATATAACTGATTTAAATCATTTAACTTGATGGTTTAATGACTTCTCTTTCATTGCTTCCCGTCGCAGGAAAAGGAACAGATAAGGATGTTACATCTTTTCTAGTAAAGTTGAATGACTTAAAGACCAATTATATTAAATGATAGAAAAAAATGTTTTAAAAAGTAAAAAAAAATATAATATAAATATGAAAAATACATAATAAATTGTAAACAAATGTAAAAATATAAATATAAAAAAATATATTAATTTTATAGGACGAGAAAACCACTACAATAGTGTTGAAACAATATTATATTTTGAAGAAAAGGATACAACAAAATAATCAGGGTTGGGAAAGTAACTTCACAAAAATTACTCGCGATTAAGTTACTGTTACTCGCTACTGATTTTAAAAAGTAACGCATCATTATAATTTCTGTTACTTTTTCACCAAATTTTGATGATTTTCCTTTTTTAGAGTGTTGACCACTCACGTAAATCAATTCAACCAAAAAAAAATATTTGGTTGAATTAACTGGAATTCTGGTGGAAAATAAACGATCCAGAATTTTTGTTAAATTTACTAAATTTTTGATTAAATTTACTAAATGTTGATTATTTCAACTAGGATTTTAATAGATTCAACCCACTCTCTAAATCAGAATCAGTGGATAATTACTGATATCAGTATCAAGTATGCCACTGGTAATCAGTGAATGAAACGTGAGATCTCTAACCTGACTAATCTTTATTATATGATCTAACTAACCTTGTTTTAGTGCATAAATTCAGTGAATGTAGTATCAGAAGATTGAAATTAACATGCAAATATCAGTATTTTAATTATATAATGCTCAAACATTTTTCCTTTTTTAGTTGAACTTTACTGATAATCACTGATATCAGTGCCAAGTATGCCACCGGGTTCAATTAGTGACTATCCATTGATTCAGATTTAGAGAGCAGAAATCTTGTAAATTTAATTAGAATTCTGGATCGTTTATTTTCCACCAGAATTCTAGTTAATGCAACCAAACTTTTTTTTCTGTGCTGAACCCGTTCAACACGAGATCTATAGTGATTATAATGGTTACGATTAATTGCAACACGATCAAACATAACTCTTCTTTTGAAAATCGATTATTATTGTTATTGTTATTATGGAACACACGTTCCATACATCACATATAAATTGCATACATATACAAACGATAAAAATAACTATTATATTCGTTACATTAACGTTACAAATAAGAAAATGTAATCGTTATCCTGAATTATTGTCATTACTGAAAAAAATACAAGTAACACGTTGCTTTCCAATTTTGGAAATAACGAATTATAAATCTTAAGGAAAACCTATAAAATTTTTTAATAGACTCCCGTCCTCGAAAGATTAAGATCAAACAAAACAA